TCTTGGTTTCACTTGTCTGAAAAAAAAAAAAAAAATCAACCCAGTGCATGCTTACAAAATTCTCTACTTAACTTCTAAAAGCTGTCTTTTTAAAAATTAAAGGTCAAATTAAAAATAACCTTTGCCCTTCTCAAAGATTTAGTGCTGAGAAGAAGGAAGACATTATTCTAAAATCTGGCCTGCATTTGCTGTCACTTTCATTATTTTCTCCTACTGGGAGAATAATTTGATGTCATGCCTGTTGAATGTTTTTCTAAAACTGAATTCATCAGGAGGAATTGATCGGATGTCCAGGCATAGACATCTGGATTGCTGACTATTGTGAACTCAGTGTAATTCCCACTCAGGACTCCATTTAATGGATTATAAGCAGGTAGGTTAGTGAAAATGAGAAACACAGCAAGGAGAGTGCCGAAAAGTTGGCCTAAACTTTCCTAAAGACACAGACCATTGGAAACAGGTCACACAGAGCATTTTTATTTCTGATTCCCTAGAGTTAGATGATTGTGTTCTTAGAGCCTTGTGAAGATTGGAATAAATCACCGTGACCTACACAGGACAGAGGTGGTTGATATGGCTTCTCCTGCGTGCAGATGTTTTCCCTTGATCTCTAAGGGAAACCTGAAGGAAAGCATCAGCTAGAGAAGACCTGCTCTGAGAGTATCATGTGCTCTGGGACAGATGGATTGGAGGGGAGGACAGTAGTAATGGAAAAAAAAAAAAAAAAAAAGGTAAGGGTGGGTGGGTCTTGCTGATGGAGAACAGTTGTAGGAGAAAGCTCATCATGAAAATACTAGTTGGAGAAGCAGAAATGCATTAAGGCGAAGTGGAGGCAGGGTTTAAAAAGAAGAATGCTGCCTGCAGTGAGAATAAAGGGAGGTCTTTGTGGGTGTCGGGATGCACTGTGTACCACAAGATGCAGCTTTACTGTAATGATGTGAGTGGGTCATTTCATGAATGCAAATTGCCAAAAATGTTTGCAGCTCACAGTTGGGCATGAGTGGTAGATCCTAGGAAACTGAATCTTGATTAGCATTTGGATTGATTTTTGATAATGGGGCACTCTGCTAGGTATTGATGTGGAAAAGAATTGTCCTCAAGAAATTTACATCTTCTTGATTTCCTCCATGTCTGTGATATTTACAAAGTGCAAATTATTTAGTGGTAATACGATTGGGATTGCAAGACAAAGCAGTTCCTTTTCCTTCACTGCATAATCATGACCAGTCTGGGGTGTGTGCGTGGGGGACGTGGGGCGATTGGCCACAATGACTTGATAGAACCCTGGTCCTAGTACTATTAGAGTTCTCATCCTTCTAACTCTTACTCATGTGGAATATGCAGAGCACTGCTTCAGGGCACTGCTGTTCCTGAAGCTGAGGTCTGTGTTGATTGAAATTCCTGAAGTTGGATTTTACTTTTCTCCAAATAACTAGTTATCAGGTTTAAAGAGTCTAAAGCCTCACAGTAAGTGCTAAAGATCTTTAAAAAAGTAGGATTTTAAAAAAAAGAAAGAAAAGCCATTCTATAATATTTTCCACAAGTAATAAATCTTATTTTAAGAAAAATTTACTTTTCTTAAAAAAAACCCAAAACCAAGAAAAACGGCCTGCCACTCTAGACCGCTTTGGCTTATGGGGTTCACACGCTACCAAAGGAACAGGAAGACTGTCCAAATTAAAACCGAAAGCCACAGTTGACTGATTTTGAATTTACCTCTTACTTCATTGTCAGTTTCTGCCATAGCAAGTACAGTGGCTTCAGTTAGAATATAAAACCCACAGCATTCTGCACGGGACCAGGTAAAAAGTAGTGGGTATCTGGAGCTTTCCTAGAAAAAGGAAGACAAATATTAAGGCTAGAGGGAGTTTGCTATACGGCAAGTCAGAAATAAAGAAGGTCGTATTGGGCTCAGCTGCTCACTGGCACATGTGAAGGAAGGCATTTTAAAATGAAAAGAACAGAGACTGTGTAAGTCAGTGTGGTCTGTAACAAGCATTCATTTAACAAAAGAGCACCTACTCTGTGCCAGGCACTGAGAATAAGGTGATGAATAAGGCCTCATGACTCTTGGACTAGGTATTTATTTAATGACAGACGTGAAAATGCCAGGAAGGAAAAGTTGAGTATAAAAAGAGTGCTATGTTGGTCTCAAGAAAGGAAATTGCATTTTTTGGACAGATGTGTGTGTGTGTGTGTGGCAGGGGGCGGGGGGCAGCCTTATGACATGAACTGTCACATGCAGACAATGTACATTCCCAGGTTTGGATTGGCCTCTGTGATGTTGGGCTCTGAGGGTCTCGCCCTGGGAGGGCCGAATTGCCCTGGGGGCCATTTTTAGTAGGGATGAGGGGAGACTATGGGTGTAGGCCGAGGACTGTCTCATGCGCTCCTCTTTGAAACGGGCAGAGACTGAATTTTAGTTTAGATCCTGACCCCCAGTTGAATACATGGCAGAAACTTGTAAAAGCTTCTCAAATTCATAATATATTTGCCATGGCTCAAGTTATCCTGGTCTCTGGAGAAAATCAACACTGTTTTATAACTGGACTTTTCTCATGAGTGATTTTTTTAAAGACAAAACAAGGAAATTAATTTTTTGTTGTTGTTGAGGCAAAAAAAAAAAAAAAGGCTCTGTTTAAAGAACAGGGATGTTGTAACATAAACTGACAAAAGCCAGGGAGTCAACAGTCAGAAGAACAGGAGCTAAATGTCACATTATCTGTTCCAAATTTGAACTTGCCCAAAAGTATTAGGTTAATGTTGGGAAAATGATGCCATTTAAGGATATTTTAAATTTAATGTTTAATTATGTTAATTTGACATTATCCTTGGGGTTGCATGGTTTTGGGACTATTGCTTAGAGAATGTAGATTCCACACTGTCTTTGTCTTTGAAAGGTAATTGCTTTAGTTAATCATACAACTTGTATAGTTCCTTAGGGTAACTGTAAGGTTACTTGGGGAGTGTAAGGTTACTATTAAATTGCACTTAGCGTTATTATGTGTTAACACCGGTATACAGAATAGAGCAAGGAGATGGGTACTTCACAGCTATGCCCTTAGGTTCAGAATCATGGTGGGCATAGGGGCAGGGGGAAGGGGAAGCCTCAAGGTTCAAGTCTGATTTGGTATGATGACCTGAGAGAGAGGCTGTGAATTTGAAATTGTACTTTTTGAAAAGAAAATCCTTCCACATTTTAATAACTCTGTGTTCCAAAGCTACGAGTGCTATAGGCCTTACTACTCAAAGCTTGTTAGAAAGGCAGACCTACTGAATTCGAATCTGCATTTAACAGCACCCTGGATGAGTGTCTACACATTGAGGTTTCTGAGAGGCACCGTATCAGGAGAATCTTAATAGTCTGATGCTTGCACTGTCTTTAAAAATATGCTTCAGCTCCTCCCCTTCCTCCTCTGTTCTACCTGCTCTCAATACTCTGCCTCTAGAATAGCCCTCCTTTCTCTGGTTTACATTCCTCACTCCATTTTTTTCTCTCCCCATCCTTGCTTTCCTGTCCTGTTTTTTGTTTTTTGTGGGTTTTTTTGGTCTGTTTTCCCTCTGCCTCCCCAACTTAAATTTTTTTGTCATTGTTCATTACCCTTTATGACCCATGTCTAAGGCCCATCCACAAAAATTCACTATCATTCATTTATTCTACATGTGTATGGCATTTATTAATGTAAATATTTGCACAGACCTATTTCCTTGTGCCCATTTTCTATATTCTAAATTTTACACAAACACACACATAAATGACCTATTTCACCATTTAAAAGTAGAAAAGTGTATATCATGATATAGAGAATGATACAATAAATATCTGTGCCAGATTAAAAATAAGAATAAATGAGAGCTCAAGGGGTCTTATGAGTTATGTGACCTTTCTGATAAGGTAATTTGTTCTGTCTACAATACTGCCATATCTTTGGTTGGTTCTCAAATTGCTTTTACTTGTGTATCAAATTTGATGTGAGCCACCCTGTCTGGGGAGATGAGGTGTTTGTACCTGTGCTTAAATGAAGTCATTTATGGAGAAGTAAAGTGATTTTTCTCAAGGTTAGACAGCAAGTTGTTGCCCTAGCACTTTGACCTGAAACTCAGTCTTGACTTTTCATCCAGCGTTCTTCCTGTTAATTATTCTCCCTCTGTCAGGTGCTTTCCAGTCTCCTTCATGGGTCTCCTTGCAATGCCTGGTATCAGTGAACATCTCCTAAGTATCTAACCAATTGAACAAGGTGCAACTCAGGAAGCGCTCAGGCTAGGCCAAGAGAAGAGACTAGAAGCCCTTCCTGACAGAAGAAACCTGGGCAATGAGGTTGATTGGTCTTGCCATAAAACAAAATAGAAAATTGGTTTGCCCAAAGAGATGCAAAGTTCACTCGGTATCGTACAAGAACGAATACAACTAAGTGACCATAATACAAAGTCAGATGTGACTGGCGTCAGCAACCAGGAAGGAATTCCAGTGGCAGTACATGCCATGAAGAGGCAGGCCGTGACTGAGCTCAAACCTTGGCATATTCACTGGTGACCTGGGGCAAGCTACTTCCTGGCTTGGTGGCCTGGTGGGTGATGAGAATAACAGTACCTGATTCACAGAGATACTGTGAAAAGGAAATGAAGTATTTTACATAAAGTGTTTAACAAGTGCCTGAAAGGGGCGCCTGGGTGGCTCAGTCGGTTCAGTGTCCGACTTTGGCTTGGGTCACCATCTCACAGTTTGTGGGTTTGAGCCCTGCGTCGGGCTCTGTGCCAACAGCTCAGAGCCTGGAGTCTGCTTCGGATTCTGTGTCTCCCTCTCTCTCTGCCCCTCCCCTGCTCACACGTGCGCTCTCTCTCTCTCTCTCTCTCTCTCTCTCTCTCAAAAGCAAAACAAACAAAACAACAAAAAAACCAAAAGATAAACAAAACCAGTGCCTGATAAAATGTTAGCTGCTAATAATTTTCTGACTTGTCTGTTTGTTGTGTCTCCCCTCTCTGTGCCTCCCTCCTCTAGCATGAGCCGCACGGCCTACACTGTGGGAGCCCTGCTTCTCCTGTTGGGGACCCTGCTGCCCACCGCTGAAGGGAAAAAGAAGGGGTCCCAGGGTGCCATCCCCCCACCAGACAAGGCCCAGCACAATGACTCAGAGCAGACTCAGTCTCCCCAGCAGCCCGGCTCCAGGAACCGGGGGCGCGGCCAAGGGCGAGGCACCGCCATGCCCGGCGAGGAGGTGCTGGAGTCCAGCCAGGAGGCCCTGCATGTGACTGAGCGCAAATACCTGAAGCGGGACTGGTGCAAAACCCAGCCGCTGAAGCAGACCATCCACGAGGAGGGCTGCAACAGCCGCACCATCATCAACCGCTTCTGCTATGGCCAGTGCAACTCCTTCTACATCCCCAGGCACATCCGGAAGGAGGAGGGCTCCTTTCAGTCCTGCTCTTTCTGCAAGCCCAAGAAATTCACCACCATGATGGTCACCCTCAACTGCCCCGAACTGCAGCCGCCCACCAAGAAGAAGAGGGTCACTCGAGTCAAGCAGTGTCGATGCATATCCATTGATCTGGATTAAGCTGGGCACACCCAGCCTGTCCTCGGGATGCAGCCCCAGGCGGGCCCAGAGCCAGACCTAAAACCACCCGATTCTTACTTGGCTTTAAACCTACAGGCAAGAAGAACCACCAGCTGCCTTCTGACAGGAGCCTGCTAGTGCATAGTTAGTGTGCGTGAGTGTGCATGGGTGTCTGCAGACACCAGAGGAGGGCACCTCCTAGTGTGTAAGCCTTTCCGTTTCCATGGAGATGGCCCAGAAAGCCCACACCAGGGAAGGCACATGAAGAGGGGCAGGGCTGTGGTCTGGTTCTGCCTGTGTATTACATGTGCCCTCCCTCCCTGGGGGCCAAAATCCCCCTCCCGAATGAATGTTAACAGAAGAGGCTACTCTGACCGCAAGAGACCTGTTGTAGTGCTGCATTATACTCGGCAAAGGTGTTTCCACCTGTGCATGCTTCCCTTCCACAGCCCATCCCTTCTTAGGCTCTCAGTGACAGTTTCAATCTAATCCCCTATCTGCTAAGGGCTCTAAATGAGCTCACTTGACCATAGATGCAAATGTTTCTCATTTGGGGAAGACTCTTCGGACTCGGAGAGGCTGGTGTGTACATGGGCAAGAAGGACATAGGAGTGAGAGAAGGGAGGGATTGATGGGGAGGACCAGTTGGGCACAGCAAAGTTCAGGGAGATGTGCAGGGTCTTGAAAGGCCACTCCCCGAACACAGGGCAACCCCAGGCTTCAGCAAGTCTTTCCCTGCTATTTAACCGAAACCAAGTGAACGGAGGAGAAATGGAATTGCCAAATCCTCATTGACCGTGGCCGTCACCATGATCTGCTGAAATTGGCTGTAACCCAACACCAAACTTAAAACATAAATATTGACCACTCCTATTTTCAGAACCGAGTGAGCTGAACCAAGACAAATCCTCCCCCTTCACCCCTCTCAGGTGGACGGCAGATGGAGCTCAGACCAGCCCCCCCCCCCCCCCCCCCCCCCCCCCCCCCCCCCCCCCCCCCCGCCACCATCCCCTGCCAGTGCAGGGATAGGAAGAAAACAAACGCCTCATAAGGAGAAGGTCCTAGTATCTTTCCTTTTGCTTGGTGGTAATCACCTCTTTCCCAGTCCATTATTTTTGTATAATGCTTCTGAGAGCCACAACCCTGTATTCTAAAGATTTTGCTTCTGCTAAGTGTACCTGGCAGTGAAGAACCAAGGTAAGAGGGGAGAGTTTAGGGCCTGCTCCATTTTAGCTAGAGGTAGATTTTGGGTCTTTATGTTTTAGCCATTGGTAGGAGATTGAGCTGGAGAGCAGAGGAAAAGAAGGAAATAAAGGAGACTGCCTCTGGCTAAGGAGTAATTTAATGCCAGGGAGGAGATAGAAGGGATGTGTCCTCCTCTTCTTCCTTTGCTTTCTCGGGGTCTAATGCGAAACCCCAATTAAGAAAGAGCATTTGGGTGGTGCATTAGCCATGTCTCTACTGGTGGTGGGATTCGTCTAACATTGGAACCATTCAGAACACACTAGTAGACCCCTCCTCTGATTAAACCTGGGTAGGGATTATCTAATGGCCGAAGTACAGGGTGGGTAGACCTTAACTATGGTTTGGATTTGGCTAACCTGTTCTCTTCAAGCCTGAGGTTTTCTATGTAAACCCATCCCCACCCCCCAAACACTTGTTTTGCCTTGTACCATCTCATCCCCATTAGTCAAGTCATGTGTAATTTGGGAACCATTGACTAGCATTTTATTTGCCCAGCGAAGCTCCAGCATTGCACTAAAGAGGCTTGTTGTATTTTATTTTTTTGATGCAGCACTCTCCCATCTGACAACTAAGCGGGAACCATACTTTGAGGCAGAAGTTAATCTTGAACGCTCAAAATATTGGGTCTGATTTTGAAACTTTTAAACTCACTACTGATGATTCCACACCAGGCAAATTTGTTCAAACACACGGGCTGTGCCCCTGCCCTAAATCCTTCTATCTTCCACATCCTCCAGCAATAAAGCACAGAATGGATTTAATTAAGCACACAAATACTAAGCCAGAATTTTGAGGGCGGGGGAGAGGAAAAGAAAGGGGAAGGAGCTGAACATGTAAAAACCACACGACAGAGGAAAAATGACATTCAGAATCGGCAGACACTGAATTTCTCTGGTTGTTTTAACTCTGCCACAAGCATGCAATTCTGTTAAAAAGAGATGACTTAAGTTGGCAGCAGCAATTTCTTTTAGTAGCTTGTACCACGGTCTTGCATGTAAGTCGGATTTGGCTTAAGTAAAGAGAATTTCCTCAAAATTAACTTCACTGGGATAATCAGCAGCATAACTACCCTGAAAAAAAAAACAGTGCTGGCCAAAGAGGGAGATGTCTGCTTTTCTGACTGTGCCTATATTAAGACTAGCAAAGTATGGTATGTCTTCCAACATTTATTGAAAGTGCCATATCTGTTACATATTGTATTGGAGTCACCGATGAAGAAATATGTTTTTTTCATTACTATAGTAGAATATTTTTTTATGGCAAGATATTTGTGATCTCAATCTTTCCTATTCAAATAATGCCAAACACCAAATATGAATTTTATGATGTACGCTTTGTGCTTGGCATTAAAAGAGAGAAACACACGTCCTGCAAGTCTGTAAATTGTTTTTTGTTTTTTTTTTTGTTATTGTAATTCTTCAAAGTTACAAATACAAGTGAAAAATCTGGAGGAAAAGATAATTTCCACTGTGTGGAATGTGAATACTTAAACAAAAAGTTATGGTTATTTAATGTAATTATTAATTCAAATCCTTTGGTCACTGTGATTTCGAGCATTTTTTTTCTCCTTTATTTGACTTTTCTCTGAGTTAAGCAAAGATGAAACTGACACATTGTATGTTGTTAGAGGTTTTTTTTTTTATCAGGTCAGAGGGAAACAATAAAATCTTGACACATCTGAACATGTGCAACAGAGTCAGGACCTGAGCTTTTGTGTTTTTGTTTTTGTTTTTTAATTGAATGTTCCTTAAAGGTTAACATTTCTAAAGCAATATTAAGAAAGATTTTAAATGTTATTTTGGAAGACTTATGATGTGTGTATGCAAATAGCTGATAATAATGAATAGTTCAGAAGTCCTTTTAAGGGAGAAGATCTAAAATGAAAAATGTATGTGCAGAACATGTATAAATGACCAGTCAGTGCTTAGGAGTGGAGGTAGTTCTATTGATTTGTCATTCTCAAGATATTTAATATCAACTGCATTATGTATAGTGTGTGCTTCAATCTTTTAAAAACAACAGAGGATTATATGGACTATGACTGAATTACTTTGCTATGTTTGAGGGGGAGAGGGGATTGGATGGTCTCATAAAAACTAATTTGGTTTAAAGCAAAGTTTTATGAATTTGAAACTAGAATTTGATTTCGATCCCAATTATGTTCTACATAACCTTTCCCAAAGAGCAACCAATAAATTGAAACTCTTCTGTGTGTGTGTGTGTGTGTGTGTGTGTGTGTGTCTGTCTGTCTGTCTGTGTGTGTGTGTCTGTGTGTGTTTAACTGGTAGTGTTTACAGGGTAGGATGAACAGGGGCTCACTTGTCATAGGAAGGAAGGTAGAAAGGAGATCATTGGATCTCTTGTGATCCCAAAGGAAATTTAGTTCTTCCACCTAGACTTTTATAATTTCCGTAGGACACCTCAGGCCATGGCAGTTAGAGGTGGGGGGAAAGTTGGTATGCAATGGAAAATACCAGCCTCTTCCCCAGAGCTAGAAACAAGAGCTGGAAAGGGCTTTGTTTTCAGTAATGGAAGAGTTGCCATGCAGAAATGATAATGGCTTTATTTTGAGGTGTTCAAGGGAAAAATGGAAAAATGGAAAAAAGATTTGGGGCTCACTAGAAGGAAGATAATAATGAGAGTAATTCATCAATGCAATGAGCTGCCTTTAAGATGGTGAACTCCCTGTGCTTGGAAGTATGAAAACACATGCTAGATGTCACTTAGTAGGGATGTGAGGTAAAGTGAGTTCTTGTCCTGGGTATGCAATTGAAGTAGATTTCTGAGGTCCCTTCCTACTTGGACATACAGTACAGGATTTCTACTAGGTATTGGTGCCCTGACAATGGTGATGAAAACCCCGGAAACTACGTATGGAGTGCTTAGGCCAGACACTGTGCTAAGAATTCTTTTTGAGTTGTTCCCCACAATCTCCATATATTGTATGTATACCATTACATACACTGCTAGGAGGCAGTGAACTCGTAGGGTTTCACTGCAACACGTGTGCCCTTAAACACTGTGCAAAATTGTGATATTCTCAACTTATATCAGTTTATTCTTTTAAGGACGGAACACAGCACTCTGCAAATAGATCCAACTCTTAATTATTCACATTTAATGACTATGATTACCCTGACGTTGCAGTTGGCATCATCAGGAGCCCTAGCTCCAAAGCACTTAAAGGCTCTTTGCCAGTTCTCTTTTTGTTATGGGCTCCTTGGACTTGGAGGGGAAAGATGGCAGCAATTACCAAGGAGACAGTGTCCTCAGAAAAGCCACACCCACCTCTAAGAGGCAACATCTGAACAGGGTAATGGACTGGATACAGAAATGCATTCTAGATTTTAAAAAAAGTACATGGTAGGATATCAGCAAAAATGTAGTGAGGAGCTCTGAAAATTCTCTCCTCCATAAAACCAATGAAAAACTGGCAAAACTAACCAGAATCAACTTTTTAGAACTTTGAAAATTAACCTCAGGCCTGCGGCAGTCTGGGGGACATTTATTTTAGAAAGAAGGATGAGGGGCGCCTGGGTGGCGCAGTTGGTTAAGCGTCCGACTTCAGCCAGGTCAAGATCTCACGGTCCGTGAGTTCGAGCCCCGCGTCGGGCTCTGGGCTGATGGCTCAGAGCCTGGAGCCTGTTTCCGATTCTGTGTCTCCCTCTCTCTCTGCCCCTCCCCCGTTCATGCTCTGTCTCTCTCTGTCCCAAAAATAAATAAACGTTGAAAAAAAAAATTAAAAAAAAAAAAAA